ATCAAATTCAATATTTTTGATCAAACATATGTTATTGTAATTAGTTTAAATATTCTTATGTGTAAATTAATCAAAACATATGCAAATGTTCAAGTGTAAAACTGATTTTTATTATTCGTGTAAATTATATAGAATACGATAAATCTGTTAAAGTTTAGATTTATATGAATTTATTGGATATAACAAACAAAAAATAATATATGTTTTCTCATAATGAAATGTGTAGATATTTGTAAGTGTGATTAAATATGTAAACTACATCATAATAAAGTTATTTGTATAGTGTACTAATCTAAATACATATATACACACTATATAATATTGTTATAAATCTTTGACCCAAAACAAAAAAATACAAATAATTGTTATAAATATGATAATGAAAACTTGTTAATGTATAAAGAAAACATTAAAAATAGATGATATGGTAAAGTCTAAAATATTACAATTAGTTGGATTTATATTGTTACTTTTTTGTCACATTTGGATTTATATTGTTAAAACATGTATCAATGAGCTTATGTTAAAAAAATTAATAAAAGTATGTAGAGATTTCCACCATGACACATAGTTCTAAATAAAATATTCTGATTGGTTAATTTAAACGAGGTGTCTTTGAATTACTCTTTAAGCGACACATAGAATTTTCACTTTAGTGTCTACTCAATTAATATATAGAGGATTTTTGTATAGTCTATTTTCAGTATTCAAGAACACAATTATGCTAATATTAACTTGTAAATCTATTGGAATTTCAAATGTATAACCTTTGACAAGATTTGGACTTTGGATAATATGAATATTCCTTGGTTAATATCATTTTTTTAGTTTTGATGTTCGTATATATGTTATATGACCCTAACAAATTTATAAATCGAGCTTAAAACATTACTAAACTAAATATTTTATATATAACGATTTTCTAGATTAACTAATTTATTCGTATTATAGTAAAACCAAATAAATAACTTAAGAGATGTAACTTTCCATTTCTAAAAATCAGTTTGCTATTTCATTATTATTTTTTTTAAGTATTATTAAAATATAGTAGTTTCTATAATTTTCATATTCATTTATAACAAAAAAACGTTGATTAGTACATTAATCATTTTGTAACATAAGTAAAAACAG